ATTAGCATGTGTTTCTTCAAGTGCAGACGAAATGGGGGGAATTTATCTTCACACACACACACCCACAGCTATGCGAGGTGTTGGTGTGCCGCGCGAACCGGTTGAACCCTCTGCTCGCCATACCTGACTGCTGCAGCCAGGTGTGTGTGTTTTTTTATGCGGCCAGCAAATTGATTCATTTCCATGCGTCACTCTGTTAACGGCCCAGCAAACTCTCTCTCTCTTTCTCTCTCTCAATTTAGCGGAATTGTAGACAGCAGCTCATTGAAAGAAAGAGAAACATCAATGGTAATCTATTGCTATCAGAGCTGGATAATGAAAAGGTCGAGAAATCTATTAATCATCCACCTAAGGTTCAAGAATCTTACGCTTCACACATATGTGTATTCATATGCTTACGATTGTATTTGAGTTAAATGATATATTCTTGAAGGTAAACAAGTAAGTAATCAAGCATAAAGGGGTTTACTTTCTTGGTTTCCAAAGAGCTCTTTAATCTCTTCTTTATGCCGCAATTCACGCTAGATGAGTTATCATTTTCTTTTTATTATTATTTAATTAATTGATAAAACTTCAGTAGTAGCCTTGGGTAAGGTGACGTAAGAGTTGCGGTTTTCTCATCGCCTGATGTAACAATGTGGTGTATGCATGCAAATTATCTTATCAATGCTTTGAATTAGCATAAATTCCATTCTGACATAGTTGTAAAACACTTGCTTCTTAGAGCATTTGCAAGTCGTATTTGGTGGTTGTAAATCGATCGAAACTGTGATAAATTGTTCATATTTATGATTTGCATATTTTTATGGCAAATTTAAGCGTTGCGACTTGGCGTTTATCTATTTTTATTTTTTGTTTCTTTTGTGACATTGGCTCAGCCTTTTAAGCACAGCGCATCCCATTTACAGACGCCCACTGCACACATAAACGCCCTCTGGCGGTCAAATGTGCGGACTACAAGCTTGTCATTTTCTTCAATTTTGACACATTTGCACGATTTCCCAGTTGGATTTTTCACACGACTCCGCGCGGCATGGCCGTCGCCTCATTTTTCAGCGGTTGTCGCTCATGTTGTTGTTGTTGTATAAGTAGTAGTAGTAGTATTAGTTGTTCGTGGTGGTAGTTTTCACCACTTAATGCTGCAACTTTTCACCATTTCTCAGCATTTAGCTGGCGCGCCTCATTTCACAAGCAGCGCTCTGGCTCGGTCGTCGTCGTTGCATGCTTCCCATTCTACAATGTTGATGTATGTGTGCATGTGAATATATGTATGTGTGTGTAGTAAGTTTACATTTATAGTTGTTGAGCTTTGTGGTTGCCGTCTGTTGGTTTATTAAAGCGCACATTCAGATGCAATGTGTTTGGCCAAAAGAAAGAAAATATAAAAGGAAAAAATAACGCTCAACAAAAAAAGAACAAATGAGAAATGGCAGAGCGCGACTCATAGATGCCCTGTATAATAAAGACAATGTGATTGCATTTCTTTGACACTAATTCCATTCTAATTGGTGTAGGCTTATGGAAAATTAAATAATGTAGAATTTGTTAGGCTTAAAACTCCAAGTTAAATATCAATTTTTCGGCTTAGACTACTTGGCCTTAAAAATGATCATTATTATTAAATAATTAACCAAAGGTATTGTCTAATTAAATTTATTATCTAATTGGTCTAGATGTCTTTAGGAATGAAATATAGAATTGAATTTTTAATAACGTAGAATTGAGTTAACTTAAAGTTCAATGCCTAACCCAACTGCACTTAGCCTAAAATAATAATATTATTACTACATGAATTATCATTAAATATAGATTTGCTTGTTAGCCAACACATTTCAATATGCCCCGTCTCAGTCAGTTTACAGGGTATTTGGCGACAGTAACAGAAACCACATTAAAGGTTCATTTGGCTGTCGCTTTGTTTGGCTTTGGCTTTGGCTTTGGCGTGGGGTTAAACTGTGACTGAAATACGGCCGTGTTGGCCCAGTTACAAATCGGCAGCGACTCCAGCACTTTTGCCACTTCTCTTTGTCGCCACTCTCTCTTTCTCCTGCTCTCTCACTCTCTCTCTCTCGCTCACTCCATCTGGTCTTGTGCAACTTTTAATGTTGTCGTCGTCTGCAAATAAAGTGAAATTATTATGTGCGCCACACAAAGCAGCTTTAGATTGCTTTTGGCAGGCACTTGACTACGTTGGTGGTCCGCTTCTCTCTCTCTCTCGCTTTCGCTCTCTCCTAAATGGCCCCGCACACCTTTTGGCTGCTCTCTTTTCGTCACATTGAAAGCATTTCGATTCACTTAACAGTCCCTCTTAATTGTTCATTATGGATGTCGTTAGAGTCAGTCCGCATTAGCAATTACACACTGCTAAATGTTTTACACTTAGTGACTCAAGTGACGCATCCATTTGCCCATTCCCCATGCAATCTTCAGCATTGGAGCGTACACACATCATTTATTGGAGTTGTGATCGTCTGTTTATAAAAGCGGCTCTGTCATAAGACACATATAGAACATAACGTTCAATTGGAATTTATTTATTTGCTCACCTTATCGCATACCCTATGAATTGTCTGAAGAGGGAGTTCCTGTGTACCTCTAAATGGTCCATTGTGTTTGGTTCTTTATCAACAATTTATCGTTTTCTAAGGTATTTATATATTTTCTATGGTTATTTAGTCACTTATTCATTTCTACTTCAAGTTGCTTATCAACGTGTTTATTGTTTATCGCAGATTCTAGTTTCCTTTCGCACGCTTCTCTGAGTCTTAAGCCTATAAATGTTTCCGTTTATGACTTATTATGTGTCTCAGTCGTTCTAATAAAATATAAATATGTATGTATGTATGCTTAAATCATAAAGCAAATTTTATAGAAAATGAAGCGATGCGTGCGGGGGCAGCAGCCTCCAATACCAAATAAGCTCCGATCTCTGTTGTAGTTGTTGTAATTCAAATTGTTTCGAAGGCGAGCGAGCCAAGCGTTGGTTGTACGTGAATTTGCTCTTGTTATATTATTATATTATGAATATGTATATATGTTTGTGAATCGCCGTCTTTGGCATTGTTATGATGCGTCATGGCAAGTTTTTATACCCTGAACCCATTGAAAATGGGAAATCAGGGTATAATGGTTTTGTTGAAATGTATGTAACAGGCAGAAGGAGGCGTGGCAGACCCCACAAAGTATATATATTCTTGATCAGGGTGACGAGCTGAGTTGATTTGGCCCTGTCCGTCTGTCTGTCTGTCCGTCTGTCCGTCTGTCCGTCTGTCCGTATGTTTGAACGCGTCGATTTCCGAAGATATAAGAGCTAGAGACTTCAAATTTTTTGTAAAATGTTCGTAATTACAGCGCGGATATCGAGTTTATCATTAAAATTCGATAACTCATCCCGATCTTTTTTTATCGATGAAAAACCTTATCGAAAACCAGTTATAAAATTATATCTTCTACACCTTTATTGCTAGAGTCTCCAAATTTTNTTTTGTAAAACGCGTATTTCAAATACTAGAGACTTGTGCTTTGGCAATTACATGCATATTCATGTTATAATCATAATCTGAAAGTTTCATGAAGATCGTACGTCCACAAAAAAAGTTATTAAACAATTAAGTTCTCATAGTAAGCGCACACTGCAGCCCGTGCATGTTTATGCGTGGATGCTTGTGTGTGTATGTGTTTGTGTATGTGTGTGTGTTTCTTGTGTAAGVTGARARRCRSGAAAAATTATTGAAATAGCTAGCACTCCAAGGGTTCAGGGGATCTCGTAGTCGAGCAGTCTCGACTAGAGCTTTCTTACTTGTTTTTTTTTGGGGGGGGCTTCTGGTCTGTGGTGTGAATGAACATAATTATGGGTTATAATGACTCTGCAATGCGCTACAATTATCAAGTAATAGAAAAATTTAGAGTGAAGCTGAGAATAGGCTAAGGAATTAGTTAGAGATGGAAGCTGAAAATTATTTGTAAAATTATAAATAAAATATATTTGAAACTATTTTACCAGCTCGCTATATCTTTTGGCTTATACAGTTAAGTGAAATTTATTATTCTCTTTCCTCAAATGAGTATGCCGCCCATTATTATCAACAATTACTCATCATAGCAAATATTTATAAAGATATATATATGTATGTCAAGCAAATGTTTTTAATGACATCATTTTAATTGACCACAAATCTCGAGTCTATATTTGATAAGAATTGTATACTGAAGCAAGAAGAAGAAGACCTTATATCATATCAAATGGCACAAAACAATGCGGGGTTTTTAATAATTCACTTGACATGGGCCACAGTCACTGCCAGCAGTAATCGTTAACCCAATTTTGACGCCTAGTTGACTGATGATGCCCACGATTCGCTTCGTATTGTTATACCCTGAACCCATTTTCAATGGGAAATCAGGGTATAATGGTTTTGTTGAAATGTATGTAACAGGGAGAAGGAGGCGTGGCAGACCCCACAAAGTATATATATTCTTGATCAGGGTGACGAGCTGAGTTGATTTGGCCCTGTCCGTCTGTCTGTCCGTCTGTCCGTGTTTCTTGTGTAAGCTGAAAGACGCGAAAAATTATTGAAATATCTATTGCTCCAAGGGTTCAGGGGATCTCGTAGTCGAGCAGTCTCGACTAGAGCTTTCTTACTTGTTTTTTTTTTGCTTTGTGTGTGTGTGTTTTTTTTGGTATTATCATTCCCATTCCGAGCATAGCTCCAAATATGGAGACAAAGAGCGTGTCATGTAACTTTTACTTTTTAAGCATTTTTTTTTTGTAGGAAAACAAACAAAAATGTGAGTGTCACGTAGCGAAACGATAGACAACACTTTAGCCAGTAGGTGGGGAGCGAGGGGCGGGCGGCAGATAGACTCGGCGGGATTGCGCAATAGTAAATATGTGCACCTGGACATTGCCATTAAAAATTGCGCGTGTCCCATATAAGGCTCAACCCCATTGGCTTACTAATTTCTTGTATCTCTCTGTCTCTTTCTTTGTTTCTCTGCAGCAATCTGTGCAATAGTGGAGTACGAGTATACTGCCAAGGAACCAGATGAACTGGATCTACACAAGGGTGCCATCATACATCGCATCAAACAGATGCCCGGCGGCTGGTGGCAGGGCACACTGAAATCCTCCGGCGTAACGGGCATGTTTCCGGATAATTTTGTTCGTGTGCTGGAGCCCAGCAGCAATGGCAACCACAGTGATGACAGTGCGGCGGTGCAGCTCAGGTTGGTGACGCAATCAGCTTAACATTCAAATGACATTAGTTATTTTATTTAATTATTATTTATTTTACCTTATTAATGACTT